ACTTTCGCACTCTTCTCGAGCACGTTTGACAAGTTCCCCGCGCTCCTCCTCAGTAAGGACATGGCGCATGTTCGTAATGTTCTTGCTTCGGAGGAAGTCGTGGCGGATCCGCAGAACAGCCTAAATGGCCCGAGCAGTCTCTTCCTGCGACGCATGGGCTGCGTCGCAGTCATCTTCGGGCTGAGGGGCACCAGCGTCTGCCCTCTTCATGAAAAGCAGAAGGCTGAGCTGATGGGGAAGTTTGGGATCGTAGCTCTCCTCGTACATCTGCCCCCAGTACTCCCTCATCTCACGATGCACTTCCTGCGCGCGCTGATGAACTTCATCGTCGAGCTCGTTGCGCTGCGGCGAAGGCGAGCGGCTTGGCATGGGTTGCCATTCTGGCGAAGGAGAACGGCTTGGCAAGGGTTCCCAGTCGACTTCAGCTTCGGCTTTGTCTGAAGCAGTATCGGAGACGACGAAATCTCCTAAGGCAATCTTCCGCTTCTTTGTTTCCTTAGGCTGAGAAGCACCAGGGAGAGTAATGGTGATTGCAACAGCATCGTGGGAATCGTTGCGCATGCCACGGTCCTGGTACGATGCGCCAACAGCGATGGGCTTGAACTGCGCAGTGGCCCCAGAGACCGCCACGTTGTCACCTCGGCGATCACTTGGATGCGCAAACACATCCCGCAACTGCTCGTCATCGGTGTGGCGCTGCAGAGCATCGCGGGTCTGCGTGGACGTCAGGTTGTTGTCGCCGACAATGACGCGGACAACTGGTGCGTCCACTTGCGGACTTGGAAGGCTGTCCAGGTAGAGTCGGAGGAGCCTGACCGCACGTTGTTTGGTCAGCACCGACGGCGGCTTCGCTCCGCGAGCGATGTGCAAGTTGGCTGTAATCAAATGAATTCTACCATGGCCTTCTATTTGCACATCGAACCGTGTGATCGCCGCGTCCACATGTCTCCCGATTGGGATGTGATGGATATGCTTGTCTCCCTGCAGGGAAACATCGACAGGCTGAGAAGCACCGCCGAATCCCCACAGGCATAAGTAGTTGTCAACCTCGGAGAAACAGACATTGTCGCCAAACGGTTTCGTCAGGATGTCTGCCGCGTCAGCCATCGCTTTGCTGAGGCCTTGCCGAGACGCACCGACTTCGCAAGCAAACAACATATCAGCATCACCGTCCTGGACGATTGTGGCGCACACGCGGGCAAAGTTGGAGAAGTGAGTGCCGGCCCTTTTCCCAGTCATCATATTCTGATCGAATCCGAAGTTGAAGGAGGCGATCGTGAAAGACGCAGGCTGAGAAGCACAGCGACCAGTGGCGACCGCGGGCTCCTGTCGGCTTTCGTTCGCAGGCTGAGAAGCACCACGAGAAGCTGACGCTGAAGATGCCATCGCAAGACTGGCGCCTTTTCACCACAGAAGAGTACCGTGGCAAAAACTCTGTAAGCCAAAGACAGCTATCAAAAGCAAAAAGGAACATGAGGAGTCCATATGCAATCTTCTGATCCCACTAGAAAGCTATCAGCAAAAGCTGTTCGGTCTACTACTACTACTACTACTACTACTACTACTACTACTACTACTACTACTACTACTACTACTACTACTACTCCTGACGGATTCCCACGAATATTACAAGATATTCTACGGGTTCTCTACGGACTGCCACATATTCGATCGCATACCACAAACTTGGCCTGGAATCCTAAACAGATCTTCGCGGGAATCCCACAGAATACGACAAGAATGCGACGAATTTCCACAGTCCGAAAAGATTCCTGGAGGCATCCCGGCGAATTCCTTGGGAACCCTGAGGACTGGACCCCCCCCAGGAATTCAGATGAGTTCCAATGGAATCCTATGGGTTCCCCCGAGGAGCACACAGAAATCGGACCAGCCTGTAGGGCGTGAGTGGTTTAGCGGGTTTCGTCTTCCCACCCCCTTCTTCCCCTTCGGAAAAAGGTGTTTACCCCTCTCCCTCACCCCCTTCCCCCTGGACCTGGACGGGGCGTCCCGCGTGTTGTCAGACGGTCTGTTTTGGCACAGTATGGCTCCAAGAGGGCTCCCGAGAGCCCAAGATGATCTCCAAGATACGCCAAGATGGTTTCCAACATGCTCCGAGAGACCCCTGAGACTAATCTAAGACAGGTCCAAGAGGCCTTGGAGCCTCCCAAGGAGGACCCCACGAGGCCAAGCTCCTTGAAACACCTACAACCAATGAGTTTGCCATCTCGCCCTTTCGCTTCCGGTGGGCTCCCGAGGCCTCCAGATGGCTCCAATCGGGTCCACGATGGCCCCAAGAGGGGCCCACGATAGCCCCAACACGGCCCCAAGAGCGCCCCAATAACGCCCTGGAGGGCCCCAAGAGGCAACCTTGGGGGTTCCAGAGGGGGGGGCGCTGATTAAGTCCACCCCCTCTTTGATCAACATAAGTTGAACAAACACACAAGCTTTACCAGATTTGGGCATCTCACGGGTATCATTCGGAAACTTGTGGCCCATGAGGGGTTTCAAAGCGGCCCCTGACTCTGTAAGATGGCCTCCGAGATGCCACAATGTGGTCTTAGTTGGCCTACGCTGGCTTTCAAGATACCTCCACAAGGCCCCATGATGACCCCAAGATGTCTGCCTCAGTGGCCACGGATACCCCCAAAAAGACCCCCCGAGGCCAACCAAGAGGAAAACCGCTGAATCAATGATTTAGGCCCTCTCGCCCTTTCCCTTCCGATGGGCTCCCGAGGCCTCAAGATGGCTTCAACATGGCCCCAAGCGAGGCCCAAGATGGCCCCAAGACGGCCCCCAAAGCGCCCCAGGAACGCCCCAAGAAGGCCCTAAGAGGCGACTCTGGGGGCTCCAGAGGGGGGGCGCTAATTGGAACCCTACCCTTTTTGACTGATATCCTCCAGGATGTTCTCAAGAAGATTCAGCGATAAGAGGCTCTCAAGACTCCCCCCAAGAAGCTCCCAAACGGCCCCCAGGCGGCCCTAGGAAGCCCCACATCCGTGATCCACGCGACTAGCCTGGGCATCGCTGTTGGATGGGCTGGTGGGATTACGCGCAGCGTCTATAATCCAAAAGGAGCCCTTGAAATGTCCTGTGTTTCGGCGGCGAGCCCAGGGGAGGAAGAGAGAAGGAGAAGGGCCTTCTCAGAAGTCCCCCGGCCTTCCGACAACTCTTCTAAGCCTTCCCCGAAGGCACAGACAACTTCTCTGAAGGCGCCAAGCAAGGCCTCTGATAAGCCCCGCCGCCTCCTGAGACTTCCCCATCGCTAGCCGCATATACGTTATCCTGCAGATAGCCTCGGGAATCCTCAGGGCTTCCCGACGAACCTTCTGTGCGCTGTTGCTTACCCTGGCTATTTACCGCTGGTTAGGGGCCTCAGGAAGGATAAGTTCCACATCGACCAGACCTCCCCAATGCTGGACTTGTGCATCCAGATCCAGGACCTCTTGGACACATCGTGCTGGGCATCTGGAGCTCCTTTGGACAGACGCCCACTCGACGGCGGCGTCCCGCGCTTTCTGGGGAATGCCTGAGCCTGACCGGGTTCTGACCTGTTGCGCTGTTTCCTTTTTTTCCGCTGGGAAGGCCGCCGCCATAGCTGAGACTCCTCAGGAGCACGCTTAAGTGCCCCAAGAAGCTGATGAGATGACCGAGAAAGTCCCCCGTCGGCTTCTAGAAGTCAGTCGTGCAGGTTACCTGAGCCTGCAAGCGTCTGGTGGAAGAGAGAGGTCGAGCGGCCCCATCCTCGCCCCAAGGCCCTTCCACCCCATGCTACTAGGAAGCGGAGACTTGATGCAGTTTGGCATTCTGTGCAGGCGATGAACACCAGCTTAAGTGCATGCTGTGCCGCCGTTTCTTTGAAGCCACGCGCGGCAAGGTTCCCGAATACTTTCCTGGTCAGTGTTTGGGGGCGCGAGAGATAAGACCCTTGGTCGGGCGTGAAAGCTGTAATCGCGCACCTCGGGCCCCCTCGCGCTCACTCATCGCATGACCTTGATGCTTCGCGTGGCGCCCTGTACTGTCGAGTTTGCGGGGAATTCATGGTTCAGAACTCCCAGCTCCTTGTCGAGGCTTGCCCAACAAGAGGCAAGCCGATGAAGGCAGGGGCCAATGTGCTTTCGCGCCTTCGACGAGGGAGTTCTCCCGCCAAAATTTTTCATGCCATTTCCTGAACAATGATGTCGTACAGCATTGACTGCTATGAAGTGCAAACGCCATGGCCTGGCCAGTGGACCCAGACCTCCAGCGTCATGTTCCCCAGGCGAACAGTCGCGGCGAACATCAGCTCGTGCGGCGTGTCTCTTGGGAAGCGTTTCCCAAGAAAGAAGCTTCACCCTTTTGTGTCCGTTTCGCCTCCGACGAGGCCTCCCGCCAAAATGTGGCATGCAACTCCCTGATCAATGATGTTGTGCAGCACGGGCCGCTGTGTGGTGCAGCCGCCCTGGCCTGACCAGGTCTCCGCTGATTGCCCAACCAACCCTCCTCCTCCTCCTCCTCCTCCTCCTCCTCCTCCTCCTCCTCCTCCTCCTCCTCCTCCTCCTCCTCCTCCTCCTCCTCCTCCTCCTCCTCCTCCTCCTCCTCCCCTCCTCCTCCTCCTCCTCCTCCTCCTCCTCCTCCTCCTCCTCCTCCCCCCCCCTCCTCCTCCTCCTCCTCCTCCTCCTCCTCCTCCTCCTCCTCCTCCTCCTCCTCCTCCTCCTCCTCCTCCTCCTCCTCCTCCTCCTCCTCCTCCTCCTCTCCTCCTCCTCCTCCTCCTCCTCCTCCTCCTCCTCCTCCTCCTCCTCCTCCTCCTCCTCCTCCTCCTCCTCCTCCTCCTCCTCCTCCCCCTTCTCCGCCTCCTCCTCCCCCTCCCCCCCTCCTCCCTCCCTCCCTCCCTCCCTCCCTCCCTCCTTCCCCCTCCTCCCGCACGCCCAGCTTCCCTGGGCCGGCGCGCGCGCTCGCGCGGCTCGCCCTCCGCCCTCGCGCGCGCGCGCGCGCGTCGCCGCCGCGGCGACCGAGGCCGCCGCGTCTTCTGGTCTATCTCGCGCTTGGCCTGGGGGGCCACGACGGATCGGTGGCCCAAAGGCGGGGTCCTGAGGGATGGGGTCCTATCGGGTCGGGCGAAAGGGGGGGATAGCAAAGGGGGGGGTTGAGAATCAGCTCACGTAGCTGATTTTCCCGGCGCCTTCCGGCGCCGGAGGCGCTTGTGTATCGAGGAATGGGCCCCTCGGTGGAGCCAGAACCAGCTGCATGCAGCTAATTTCGTACCCCCCCCTTTCCCAATCCCCCCCTTTCGTCCGGCCCGATCCTACGGACCAGGTGCATCAAGCAACGCGCATTCGAGCCGGGACCCCTTCCTATCCTCAAGACCCCATGGCCTCAGGACCCCCATCTTTGAACCACCGAGGGGGTGGGGACCAACTCGGGGGGGGGGGAGGACATCGAGCTGGAATCGGAGGCACATCGCGCCGACACTGGCCTGACGGCCCGCCTCCGCCCGGGCACGTGCCGAGCTGCCATGGGGGACCGATCGCCGATGTATCGCCGACACCAGCACGACGTTGCCCCCCCTGAGCCTGCTCTGGGTTTCTTTGTAAGCGTTGGGGGGTACCTCCCCGACGGGGGTCAACCTCGCTTCGTCGTCGCGACGCGACGGGGGCCGGAGCGCCTTGGGCGCACGGTGGCTGCCCGCGACGGGGGCTGATGTGGGGCTGTCGGCGGGGGCGACGCCCTCCCGACGCTTATGAAGAAACTCGGAGGATCCCCCCCTGGCCATCGCTCGGACGCCCATTCCCTGTGTTTCTTTCGGGTTTCGTGCGTGGCTTTCTCGCCAAGTGATCAAGAGTGCTCCTCGATGGCCCTCGCCGAAGGAAGAATGCACACGTCCGAGCGATGCCAGGCCCCGCTGCGATCGTTGCCGCTGCGGGCCTCGTCGGACAGGATGGCGTAGTCGTCCACGCTCAGGTACAGGGGCGCGGCGCTCTCTCCGGCCATGCCTGCCGCGGGCGAGGGGGGGGGGGAGGAGGGGGCGGGGGCGGGCCTCGAGGGAGGGGGGCGCCGGAGCTCGAGCATCGATCCTCGAAACATGCCGCGGCGAGGGAGTTGGATACGTAAGGAGCCCCTGGACAAAGAATCCTTCGTCTTCATTCCGGCGAGCCATCAATCGGGGCTTGGCCACGGATATCACTGCCGCCCTCAGCAGACAAGGCACCCTCTAGGGTCTGAGGCATCCTGGGCAGATGCTTCAACGAACGCCTCCAGCGTACTCTTTGGGTCCCCCAGGCGGGGCCGAAGTTCATCACCATGCGCCGCGCCAGCTGCGTCGCGCCCTGCAGGTCCGAGGTGCACCCCGCGGACACGTTGTCCGCCCCGAAGATGAGCTCCTCGGCCGCCTTGCCCCCCATGGCCACCTCGAGGGCTCCCAAAGCGGCCTCGCAGTCGAGGGATCGCGAAATTGGCATCTCTTGCTCGACAAAGGCGGCGGAGGGCAGGGCATGCGGAAACAAAGCGGACGGGCGTGGCTCCGATGGCAGGCGGAGGGTCGGCGAAAGCCAGCGGAAGTGAACTACGCCTCCCAGGAGATGCCAACTTGTGGCCTCAGGGTTTCCAGAACTGGCCACCTGACTGCTCCGCTGGGGCAGGACAAGGACGAGGACAAGGACAACGTATTTTGGGTAAGCCCACTCACGTGCCCTCGCAACCTCACCTGAGCGAGGTGCCAGGCACTCCTCCTCCTTCTCCTTATAAGACTCATCCTCCTCCATGACCTCCTGCTTTCCTGCTCTTCCACCCCAGACATCTGACGTAATGATTTTTCAATCCGTGGACCCCAGGAACAATTGATTCACCCGCGACCTATTCTTCGCTTCCCAAATTATCTACTGATGGCCTTGGTGGCCGAAAGCGGCAGCCGGAGGCCGAAATTGAGAGAACACGCTGCGATCCAACTCAATCCGCTCCGCCACAAGTCTGCGACCCTCTTCTTGGCCTTCCGGACGCCCTTCCAGCACGCTGTAGTGAGGCGCTGAGATAAGAAGGGGAGGAGCAGGTCACATACCTCCTCGTCCTCCTCAGCCTACTCCTCTCCTCGGTCCTAAACGCTCGATCTTCTCCTCCTGAGGATAACGAGGAGGGGGAGGACGAAGGAAGAGGGAGAGCGAAGGAGGGAGGAGGATGGAAGAAGAGGAGACAGGATAATAAGCAGGAGGAGGAGGAGCAGTAGGAGGAGGAACATGATGATGATGAGGAGATGATGCGATGAGGATGATGATGAGGATGAGGATGATGGTGATGGTGATGGTGATGGTGATGGTGATGGTGATGATGATGATGATGATGATGATGATGATGATGATGATGATGATGATGATGATGATGATGATGATGATGATGATGATGATCATGATGATTGCGATGATGATGCTGCTGCAACTGATGATGATGATGATGATGATGATGAGGAGGAGGAGGAGGAGGAGGAGGAGGAGGAGGAAGGGGGAGGAGGAGGAGGGGGGGAGGAGGAGGAGGAGGAGGAGGAGGAGGAGGAGGAGGAGGAGGAGGAGGAGGAGGAGGAAGAGAGGATGGAGCAGGGAGAAGGAGAATGATAATGGCGGATTACACAACCTCTGGGTGTGGGTGGTCCGCGTATGGACAACGGTAAGACACGGCGACTGTAGAGCATCCACCTAAGTGGCAAGACATAGCCACTCAAATCTCAATATTCGGGTCGGGCGAAAGGGGAGGATAGCAAAGGGGGGGGTTGAGAATCAGCTCACGTAGCTGATTTTCCCGGCGCCTCCCGGCGCCGGAGGCGGCTATGTATCGAGGAATGGGCCCCTCGGTGAGGCCGAAATCAGCTGCATGCAGCAAATTTCGTACCCCCCCCTTTCCCAATCCACCCCTTTCGCCCGACCCGAAATATTCAGGACTGCTGGCATTGCCGCCGGCATTGCCGCCGCCATTGCCGCTGGGCTGCGTCCTGCAGGTTCGTACCTCGGACGGGGGCTTGGCCACATCTAGGACCGCCAACAGTGCCGCTGGGCTGCGTCTTTGAGGTCTTTGCCTCGTGTGTGGGCATGCGCGCAGGGTGCGCAGGGCAGTCGGCCCTGCCGCCAGGCTGTGTCCCGGAGGCCCCTACGTCGTGCAACATTCACTCCTGATCACACCAAGTGAAACAAGGTCGGGCGTGGGGCTTTCAGTAACTGCAGCATCTGACTGAGGCGCGCAAGCCTCGGGGCTGACATTCCCACATTCACAATGTAAATCTGAGATCGGACTCACCGCGGCCAGAAATCAAACAGACTCGCGAATACTCCCCCCTCTCCACGCCATATCAAGTGGCAGACTGGATGAGGCTCACCCCTCCACGCACAGCCATACCAACAGGCTGCCCGAGGAAGGCGCATGCCCCACACTGCCATATCAAGAGGCAGGCTGGGGAACGCTCCCCCACACCGCCGCATCAAGCTCCCCCCCACACGCAGCCGTGTCAATACGCAAACTGGGGACCCCCCCCCACACACAACCACACCAAACTGCAGACTGGGGAAGGCTCACCCGCGAACAATCACATCAGGATGCAGACTGGGGACGGCTCCGACCTCTCAACAAGGCAGGCTGCGAACGCCTGAACCTTAGTGGGCCCTGGAAACGACAGGGCCGTTTTTTTACTGGTTCCGTTTTGCCGTTTCTTTGCCGGTTCCGACGCCGTTTTTTTACCAATTCCGTCGCCGTTTTTTGACCGGTTCCGGCTCCGGTTCCAATCCTGGAGCCGTTTTTTAGCCGTTTCCGGTCGCCTTTTTTTGTCGTTTTCATTTTCAAGGGACATTTTTTTGGAAACGGTGAAAAAACGGCCCTGCCATTTCCAGGGCCCACAAAGGTCTGGACCCCCACACAGCCGCACCGGGAGGCTGACTGGGGAAGCCTCGCCCCCCGCAGCGCCGACGCAAGACTTCAGCGAAGGCTCCCTCCCCACAGAGCCACATCAAGAGGCAGACTTGGGAAGGCTCGCCCCCTCCTCCTCCTCCTCCTCCTCCTCCTCCTCCTCCTCCTCCTCCTCCTCATCCCCCTCCCCCCCCTCCCCCTCCTCCGCCTCCGCCTCCGCCTCCTCCTCCTCCTGCTCACAACTGGGTCAAGAGGCGGAACGGAGAACGCTCATCCCTTCACAGCCATACCAAGAGGCAAGCTGGGGAAACCTCGCCCTCCCAGCGCTGCCTCAGAAGACAGACAGGGGAAGGCTCGCCCCGAACCTCCATGACGACAAGAGGCTGACGGGGGAAGGGCTCCCCACACTGCCATACCAAAGGCATACTGGGGAAGGCGGGCACCCACACAGCCATATCAAGAGAGTGCCTGGGTAATGCCCCTCCACCCACCCATGCACACGACTCCGGCTCGGACAGCCCGAGTCAAAAGAAGTTGGAGCAATTTCAGGAACAATGCATATGGCCCCGCCTTGTGACGCTTCATGGTGACCCTGTGTGGAAATGTCACAATCGAGAAGGAGACGATTGAGAGATCGTAAAGTTGTGATTCGCCAGGCAATGTAGCACACCCGTCATCTCAGAACATCTGTCGTTTGTAATCCGTTGGAAGGTGGACAAATACGCGCAGACGCTGACGAATACGCGCCTTTTCACTTGGGGCAGGGACATGGCTGGACATACCTTACGTGGCATGCGGATGAAACTGTCACGATAACATCGAAACCAATGGTTTCGATTCATCTGTCTGATCGAATTCAAGTGTGCAGCCGGAGTACGGTGCGAGAACATTCAGTGCCAGATTCCATGTTTTAATGCCCACAAACAACTGCATACGCAAACAAGATGGTCACGACCTAGATTTCGATTCCAATCTGCGGAGCGGATTCTCCAGCCGACGATCTCCAGACGCACGCGCCAGAATCAGAAGAGGCAACAAATGAGCTTCTGAGCCGTGGCCACTGCACTGAATATCTGTTGCGGCGTATTGCAACCGAGGTTTTTTTGTTTATTATATCTATGATGGCGTTAATTCAAATCCTCCCGCTGAGGGTGACTTGCACATTATCCCTGATGATTCCGACGATGAAGAGACGGTGGCTGCGGAGGCAGATCTGGATACGGACGCACTTCTCGTCGAGGCTCGGAGCGAGTTGGGGCGTCAGCATCTGTTCGGGCAACCAAGGCGCATTTCTTTAGGAAGGGTGTTCAAAGCTTTTGATGACAGATTCGGAGGGACTGCGCCGATCTAGCGTACTCCCTTTACCTCGACCCATTGCTGCTTCATGTCGCAACGGATTCGACAGCCGAAGACCTTGAGCTCGACGGTGGTGTCTTGATCTTTTGTGTAGAGAGGGCAGCCGATACGATGCTATTGCAAAGCTCAGGCAAGAAGACAGGAGGATTGTCACCACCGAATGAACAGCCGAAAACCTTGAGCTCGATGGTGGTGTTTTGATCTTTTGTGTAAAGGACAACCGATACGATGATATTGCAGAGCTCAGATGAGAAGACGGGAGGACTGTCACCACCGAGTGAACTCCAGACCGTCTTCGTCACCATCTGAGGGGCTGCGGCCCCAACGCCGACGCCTTCGACGCGCGCGGCCGCGCGTCAGTGCGGTTGCGGATGTCGGCGCTCGCCTCAGGTCGGGCATGTCTTCCTGCAGGCGGATGTTCCAGGAAAAACAGTGAACACTAATAGTATAACAGAAAACCAAAAATAGTCAAACATTCGTCCCCAGACTTATTGTTTCACTATGTTTGAATATTCCTCCTGTAGAAGAACATGCCCGACTTAACGCTCGCCTCGCCTCGCCACCCACGCAAGCACAGCCATATCAAGGAGCAGACTGGGGAAAACACATCCCACACGGCCGCTTCGAGACTCAAGAAGCAGAACAGGGAAAGTTCACCCCAACACAGCCACGTCAAGAGGCAGTCTGGGAAATGCTCATCTCTCCACGACCATGTCAAGAGGCACACTGGAGAAGGATTAATCCACTCACTCTGCCACACCAAGAGACAATCTTAGGACATCTCGCCCCCACACAGCCATATCAAGATGCAGGCTGGGGAAGCCTCACTCCCACACAGACGCATCAGGAGGCTGAGGAAGGCTCACCCCTCAGACATACCAAGAGACAGACTGGGGAATGCTTGTGGGCATGCGGAGGGTATGCAATACCAACTGCATTGCTGCCGTGCTGTGTCCGAGAGGTCCACGTCTCGATGTGCATCCATAGCAAGCAGCGGACTGGGGAATGCAAGCCCATCCCCCCCTCACACACAGTAATATCAACCTAGCACTCGCAAACAATGAAAGACCGCCATCATTGCCCCTGGATGCGTCCTAGGGGCCCGTACCTCGGATGGGGGCGTGGCTGCAATCAAGACCGCCAATATTACCGCTTGGCTGTGTCTCGGAGGTCAGTACCTCATCCGTGATGGAAGGTATATAGGACAGCCTGTATTGCTGCCAGCTTCTGTCCTATAGGTCTGTCTCGCCACTTAGCAGTATCAAGATGCCAACTGAGGACGGCTCACGCCCACCCCGCCATCTCGGGCTGCAGATTTGGGAATGCTCATCTCCACACCGCTTTATCAGGAAGCATACTGGTGAAGGCTCCTCCACACAAAGCCATATCAAGAATGGGGGAAGTTAAATGGCACAGGAGGAAACAGGGTGGATGCAGGGCACTTGGTGTATAATCTTCTGGAGAAGCAGGCCCGAAAGGCCTGAGCCCTGCACATGTCATTGACAGCATGAAGCGTTTTTGCGACACTGAAGTCTTCCTATGATGAACAATGTAACTACCTTAACGCCACCCGCGGCAGAATATGCAGGACCACCGGCATTGCCCCCAGACGCGTCCCAGAAGCCCGAACCTCGGATGGGGGCGTGGCTGTGTGCAGGACCAACAGCAAAACTGCTGGGCTGTGTCCCAGAGGTCAGCAAGCAGGTCCGCCCGTATTGCTGCCAGCTTGCATCCCATTGTTCCCTACCTCGGCACTTAGTCACACCAGGAGGCGGACTGAGGAACGTCCACCCCAACACAAACATATCAAGAAGTACACTGGGGAAGGCTCGCCCCCCCCCCCCCCACACACACAGCCATCTTGAGAGACAGGCTGGGAGAGGCCTACCCATTTCTCTTGGCGCGACCCGGACATCTTGACTGCTGGCGGGCACCGACAGCGGACGCTTCCGAGTGACCTGGCCCAGGTCTGGTATGGAACCGACCAAGCCCGGCGATCGGCAATCTGCGGTCCGGATCCGTGGGGAAGGCAGATCGGCAACGCTCAGGAAAGCTGGGAGTCGGCGGCGAGCGAGCGGGGGAAATGAGAAATAGAAGGCCTTCTCAGATGGCTCGGAAGTCCCCCGGCCTTCTGAGAAGTTGTCTGAGCCTTCCCCGAAGACACACAAAACTTCACAGCAGGCGCGAGGGCTTCTGAGAAGTCCCGGCGCCTTCTGAGAGGGCCTTCTCCTTCTCGTTTCCACCCCCCCGCTCGCCGCCGAGGGAGGATCAAAACAACTCTCTCGGGCCTGCGGGCCAGAGCCCCTGACCCACCCCCAAGGGAATAACGGGCTCCGCCGGCCGCGACTGGCCGCCTCCGCACTGCCAGGCCACGACGCAGTGCAGAGAGAGGAGGAGAGGAGGAGGAGGAGGAGGAGGAGGAGGAGGAGGAGGAGGAGGAGGAGGAGGAGGAGGAGGAGGAGGAGGAGAAGGAGGAGGAGGAGGAGAAGGAAGGGCGCCGGCAGCCGAGGAGGAGGAGGAGGCTGATCCCCCACAGCTGTATGAAGAACGACGCAGACTTTGGACAACTTACCCCGCAGCGCAGGAGCAGGTCTCAAATTCCTCCTCCTCCCCCTCCTCCTCCTCCTCCTCCTCCTCCTCCACCGATTCCCCCTGAGGACGACGAGGAACGGGAAGAGGCGGCGAAGGGGGGAGAAGGATAAGGAGGAACGAGGAGCGAACTTGACGAGGAGAAGGACCTAATTGCTCCTGCTCCTCCTCGACCTCGTCCTTCGCCTGCTCCTTCTCTTCCACTTCTTCTCAAGCGAGGGCGGCCGCGCGCGCGAGAAAACAACGCGGCGGGGCCGGCCCACGTCCAGGTGAGCCTGCAGCTCGAAGAGGCGCTCGGAGAACTTCTCCTCGCGCCCACGCGGTCCCCTCCCGAAGTTGCCCCCTCTTCCCTTCGGGGAGACGTCAGACTCGGGTACGGGGGACTCGGGTTGGCCCGACGGGGCCATCATCAACATGACGAGACCCAATCTGAAATTTGACGCGAGCTCTGGCTGCAAACAATCTGCGAAGACTGGACCGTCCAAATCCGGGGCGTGCTCGTCAAGACACGCCGGCAAGCCCGAGGTCCGGCTTGCTCGAGCCTTACGCTTCCCCGATGCCTCCTCCCTCCCGGCGGCTGGGCGGGCCCTCGCCGATCGGGCTCGGGCGGCAACCGTCGGGAGAGCGCGCTTCTGGCACCGGGGCTCTGGGCGGGAGCGGCGCGCTGGACACGAGCCACAGGAAGACGGCAGCCGGAGGCTGAGGGGCGGGAAGTGGGAGGGCGACGAGGGGAACAGGGGGGGGGGGTGATGCAAGTCGCCGGCTCGGTCCACGTGACTTCCAAGGCTCCTCTCTTCTGCTCCTCCTCTTTCTCCTCTCGTCCTCCTTCCCCTTTGATCCTCAATCCTCAATCCTCCTCAATCCTCCTCCTGCTCAGCAGTGGGAGTCCTTTTTCATCGTTACCGCCTCCTTCGTTTGCCTTCCCCTGGTCCTCCTGCTCCCCCTGGCTCCTTCCGCTCCAGCTCCTGCTGCTGCTGTTCGTCCTCGGCCTACTGCTTCCTGATCCTTCTCCTTTTCTTCCTGCTCATCCTCCTGCTCAAGCGCCACCTCTTCCTTCAATGTACGCAACTTCCTTTCCGATGGCGCATCGCGCGCTGGGCTCCTCTTTGGAGTTCCAGGACACGCCTCGGCGAATAGGGACAACATCGCGCAATGGGAAGGGATGGGTGGGATGGGTAGGATGTCAGGTATGGCGCGAGCGCACCTGGCCTGTCCTCCCCCCTCTCTCCCCTCCCCATCCTGAATGCCCGCCGTCGAGCTTTTGCTCCACAGCGAGGCTCCCTGGAGATCTGGATCCCTTCCCAGGGACCGGCTTCTTACCCCGAGCTGCTGCTGTTGCCAGCCCTGGGGCCTGGCCAGGGCTCCCGGAGGCCGACACATACCATTAAGCGCGAGAGTGGTCGGGGCTGCCCCCCTCCTCGCCCTGCTCGCGTGCTTCAATCGGGGGTGCTTCCCAAAGAGCAGCGAGCGCTCTTTCCACTCGGCCCCCCGAGCCCCTCCTGGTCACAACGTCGGAGTAGCCAGGGAGGGCATCCATCTGGCGGGCGGCAGGGCAACGCCTACGCGTCCACATACAACGACAGTCCATCTTCGGAGGTCCGCTCGGAATTTTTGCATCGGCGCTGGACCGCCCTCCCTGGCGCGCGGAGCGCGCCAGGGGCGGCGCCGCAGCGCCGCCAGGGTGCTGATGCAATCCCACCAGGCCTCCAGGGCGTGAGTGGTTTAGGGAGTTTCCCCTTTCAACATTCCCTTCCTCCCCTTTGAGGATGGGTTTGCCCCTCCCCCCACCCATTCCCCCCGAACCTGGAGGGGGAGGTTCGCGAGGCGATGGAGCGTCCCATATGGCCTCGGCGAGAAGGTAAACATCATTGATGCTATTGAGGTTTGGGCCACATGTGGGCCTCCTGGAGCCCCAATTGAGGAGCTCCCCTCCTTTGGTCGGTCTCCTCCAAGATGGCCCCAAGATAGCCCTCAAGGCTCTCAAGAGTGCCCCAAATGGGCCCCAAGAGGCGTCCAGGAGGACCCCACGATGCCCCCAAGATGCCCCCAAGAGGCACCCAAGAGGCTCCCAAGAGACCCCCAAGAGGCCCCAAGAGGCTCCCCCGAGGCACCCAAGACGCTTCAAGAGGCCCCCGGCCCCTGGGGCCGTCAAGAGGCCCCCCAGAAGCCCCAACAGGCCTACAATAATCTCTCGAGACATCCAAAGATACTCAGAGAAGCATCCAAGAGGCCTCTGGCTTTCCTGTTCGCCCTCCTCCTCCTCCTTCTCCTCCTCATCCTCTTCATCATCCGCCTAATCCTTCTCCTCCCTCCACCCTTCCCCCCCTCCTCCCTTTTCCTCCACTCCCCTCCTCCTCCTCCTCCTCCTCCTCCTCCTCCTCCTCCTCCTCCTCCTCCTCCATCCTCCCCATCTTGGGGATATGACGGCTTCCCAGCCTTTCTTCCACTGCGTGCCCCCCCACATGCCTGATACGGGCAACTCGCCTGGGCATCGTTTCAGGATGGGCTGGTTGGGGTTACTTTTTAGTCAGCGGCCGCGGGCGAGCGCGCCAGCGGCGAGTCCAGTCAAAGCGGGGCACGCAACAAATTCACCTAAAGCAGCGGAGGGCGGCCTCACCTAAAGCGGCTAAGCAGGGCCTCGCGCAGCACCTCAGCGGCGGACCGGCGACTGGGGGGGGCAACTGAAACTGAGACGTACTGCCAGCGTGCATGTATGCATGGCGTCGGAAGCACCAGGTAGTCGGGAAGAACGACGACCTGGGACAGAAGCCGAATGATTAATGCAACGGCGCGAACCCCGGACAACTGCGAGAGCACCAGGGTGGCCGCAGCCGGGAGGACCGACAGTCGAAGGTCGAATTGATGCCGGAGTGGGCGTGAGCGTTGGCAGGCTGCGAGAACCCAAGGTGGCCGAAGCCGCAAAGTCCCACGGCAGCAGAACGCACGAGTACGAGAAGCAGCCAAGCTGTCGCGCGGCCAAATGGCGCGGGTCACCACGGACATGTGCATGAAGTGGCGCCAGGATAGGCGCACACCACGAGCCTTGAAAAGGGCCTGGTTGGGGTTACTTTTCCGGTCGCGTCCGCGAGCGAAAGCGCAGGCGGAGACAGAAACTGTCCGGGGCATGGAAACAGACCTAATTAACTACAGGGCGCGGAACGGCCGGCCGGACCAGCTCACGTGGCGGCTGCTGAGCGGCAGGGTGAGGGCTGACTGGCTGAGGGCACCCAGGGAAACTCAGAAAGGTTGGGGTTACGCAAAGCGTCTAGACTTTTTCTTCGTCGAGGCACATGCGTCCACTCCTCTTCTCGCTCACTGGCGAACGTCGGCTTGGCGCCATCCTGCGCAATTCTGGCCCCGCCCTCCGCTGCCATGGACCCTAAGAGGCAGTCCTGCCATGTGAGCGCCCCAAGGAGGAGCCGCCAAGGAAGGAATACAGTCGGCCCGAATCATAAGGATGAGCAATAAGGATGCAAGGGCCTTGGACGCCTATTTCGAAGCTTTTCGAGCGCGGCGCGGCGAACGACAGTGGCCAAGGATGGACCGAGGAGGCAAAGATGCAAAGACACCCCTGGGAATGTTGCCCATCCTTCCTGTGCGGGCTGGCTGTACGACACGTGCCGTTCCGTGCCCACCCAGGGAGGAGCCGCCGAGGGGTGCTGCGCCTGCCCACTTGCGCCCAGATTGTGGGGATGCCGCGAGCGGCTCGCTGCTCTGGGCACCCTCGAGACTCCTCCCCGCTCGGGCACGCGCACTCGCCCGGGTCCGCTGCAGTCCCGACTCGGCCGGGGCCTTGGTCGCGAAGCCCCGCCTGCCGCCCAGCAGCGCCCGAGAAGCCCGGGCCGGCGGGGGGCGGAAGGCGAGGGAAGCGGCCCCGCGCGGCTCCCAAAGCACCCGGGTCGGCCCGAAGCTGTCGGCTGACCCCCATGACTCGATGACCCTCAGAACGTGCGTTAGCGCCAGCGTGTGCTGGTCCATCGGAGTCCCTCCATACGACCCACGTGGCGTAACGATGGCCGGCACGAGCGGGACGGGGTGAACATACATTGGGCCAGCACACGTTCTGAGGAGCATCGAGATACGTGAGCCACTTTCGTTCATAGAGGCCTCCTGGATGGGGTTGGAGGATCGCGTCGCCCGCGCATCGTCGCTGCATCGGCGACGTCGGCGACGCATCGGAGCCAGCAGCGTGGAGAAACTCTGGCTCCACATCGAGCCGCTTCGTCGATGCCTCGTCGATGTTGGGCGATCCTTCGACTCCACCTTCTCAGACACCACTTGGGAGGCTTAGGGCTCGCCCCCTCCCCCCTTGCGATCTGGCGTCGCGAGAAAAAAAACATTATCACGACCGGAGCCCTGAGCCCCATCCTTCTGCGCCATCTTCCGAGCCAGATCGATCCGTGCTGGCCCGGGGGCCCGACGCCTGGCAGACACCCTCGGCCCGGAGAACTCGGGACGCCAGGAGCTCAGCCTCCCCCCTTCTCCTCCCCCTGCTCCTCCTCCTCCTCCTCCTCCTCCTCCTCCTCCTCCTCCTCGTCCTCCTCCGTCTCCCCCTCCGCCTCCTCCTCCTCCTCCTCCTCATCCTTCTCCTCATCTTCCTCCTCCTCCTCCTCCTCCTCCTCCTCCTCCTCCTCCTCCGCCTCCTCCCCCAAAGGGTCCTTCTCGGGGATGCTCCACGTGACGCCCAGGGCGCTCCCCCGCGGCATGATCGTGGCCTTGTGCACGGGGTCGGCGCCGTGCGCGTGCAGCCCCACCAGCGCGTGCCCGCCCTTCGGGCCGAGGGTCGCCCGTCGCAGCTCGTCGTCGTCGTCGTCGTCGTCGTCGTCGTCGTCGTCGTCGTCGTCGTCGTCGTCGTCGCCGTCACCGGCGTCGTGGTCGTCTTCGTTCGTTGCCGCCCGTGGCTCGTCGTCGTTCGTCGTCGTTCGTCGAAGCCCGCCGCGTGTCGGCGCAAACGTCGTCGTCGTAGTCGTCGTGGTCGTGGTCGTGGTCGTGGCCGTGGTCGCGGTCGCGGTCGTCGTCGTCGTTCGTCGTCGTTCGTCGTCGTCGTCGTTCGTCGTCGCTCGTCGTCGGTCGCGGTCGTCGCAGCTCGTCGGATGTCGGCTCGGTATACACGTCGCGCCGTCGAGGTTGTCGTTCTGGCCGTCGGCGGCGTTGTCGTCGTCGAGTTCCGTCGCCGCAGAGAGCGGGGTTCTGACGAGGCGGGAGGGATGGAGCAGGGAGGGAAGGAGGGACGCCTCGTGGTATGCCGTCATCTTCTTTTCCAGGTCGCTCATTGGGTTGCGCCTCTCCAGCCCGACCACGACGCGGTCGAATGCTTCCTTCCGCGCAGACGGGGGTGAAGAGGAGGAGGAGGAGGGCGAGGGGGACTCACGTACTCCTTCCCCTTCCTGGAGTGACTCTGGCAATCTTGGCGCCAGTCTAGCATCTCTGGGCCCCCCATGTGCGCAAAAGTTCGGCGCTCTTGGAGGTCTCTCAAAGTGTCTGGGAGCCGGGGCCCGCCCGAGGCCCAATTTCAGCTGCACCCATCACATGTTCACAACATGTTGATACGCATTGATGGTGCGGCCCCGGGAGCCCCCGAGCCCCAGGAGCCCCCGAGACCAGACCAACGGATCCCCAAGGTGGAACCGCAAAGCGCACTGCCGTGGCGCAACTGGAGGTTAACCTCTCCAACATGACCCCAAAGACCCCGAAGAGGGAACCGCACAGCGCGCTGCCGTGGCGCAGCTGGAAGCCAGCCTCTCGAAAATGATGTCAAGACCCCCAAGAGGTCCCCAAGAGGGGCCCAAGAAAACCCCACGAGGCACCAAGGCGCACCCAAGTGGGCTATAAAAGTGCGCATTATTCCCCCGAGAAACTCCTAAAGTACCCAGTCTGCCCAGGGCCTCTGAAGCACGACCCAAGCGCAGCGGCGGGATGGACCGAAAACCGCTCTGATTTCGCCTTTCAAACCGCCACTCCCTTCCGCCTCTTGCGCCTGAACTGCTCCCTTTTCAAGGTCGGCGGAACCAACCGTCACGCCTTTGTAATACAAAGGGCAGTAATCACATGGAGAGTAAAACCAGATATAGAGAGAGAGAGAGAGAGAGCGAGAGAAAGAGAGAGAGAGAGAGAGAAAGCAACAGAGAGAGAGAGAGAGAGAGAGTACGGAGTGTATATTAGAGAGTAGATGGAGCAGAGCGTCGAGTGCAGAAGCCATAGACCATGTAGTCGAGAACAACAGGTTGATAGCAATACAGCGAGAATAGAAGGTTCGCCCTACAACAAGACTGTCTTAGATAGTCGCACATCGAGATGAGGATGTAACCAGAACGTGCAGTGGGGCGTGTAAAATGGAGAACGGAGGATCGATCATGGAGAGTAGATGCTATAGAGGGAATGGTGCTGATGATAGGAAGCAGCGAGTAGGAGAATTCGGGCGAACGAATTCGTTATCCCTCATCCTCTCTTCCTCTCTTCGGGGGGGGGGGGCAATTACCTGGGAACGATGTTACAGTCAACCCGCATGGTAAGGATGGGCAACTTTCCCAAGGGGGGTACCCTGCCATCCTTGCCCCTTCGGCTCACCCTTAGCGGCTTTCGCTGGCCAACCTCGTTCGAAAAACGTTCGCATGGGCCTCCAAGGCCCTTGCATCCTTACCGCGCATCCTTTTGATACGTGTTGGCTGTGCATCGCCGGCAGACCGGCGACAGGCCCCCCCTGGGGGCAGGTCGGGGGACCCTGGCCTTTCCCGATCTGCGCCTCATCGGCGATTTCTTGGGGTCGATGCCTGCCCCCTCCGGGCCAGTCTCTCCCCTGTCGTTGTCCCAGAGATTTTTTAAGGGGTGGCAGGTACACGTGCAAATAAATCGACACATATATCACAGGATTCCCCCCCGTGTATGGTATTTTCTGGACATTCGTCTTCTCCCCCCCACTATTTTCCTATGCTTTCCCATGCTTTTTTCCTGGGAACTGGCGGTCCTTTGTATCTGTGTGTGTGTGTGTTTTCTTCTCTCCCGGCGCAGCGAGCTGCGCAGGCATAGTTACGCTTAGGTCGGGCATGTCCCCCTACAGGCGGATTTTGGAGGACAAGTTTAAAGTACTCAAGCAATGCCCCAAACATGCGCAAAAACAGTCAAAACATCGTCCCCAGACTATTTGTTTGACTATCTTTGAATCGGAGATTGGGGAGTGAGATCGCAGTGAAACGGAGACCCCCCACCGGGAAATCGGCTTCGGTTTCGTGTTCGTGTCGTGCGTGCGGGCGAGGCGAAACTGCGCGTGATCCTCCTGTAGCTAGGCCGAAGTAGGAGCGAAAGTCCGTTCCCGTCCGCCGGTGGCTGGGAGGTGTGCCAGTTGGGCCGGGTGGTGTCCCGGGTGTCCCGGGTGTCAGCAGGAACGAAAGTCCGTTTCCCGTCCGCCGGTGGCCGGGAGGTGTCCCAGTTGGGCCGGGCGGTGTCCTGGGTGTCCCGGGTGTCCCAGGCGTCCCGGCGCTAACGCATGTCGCTAATTTCATAATTCATTTTTGTTCGGCGCCTGCGGCGGGCTTTCTTATCCAATCCAGCTTATCTGATCCGATCCATCTTGTCCAATCCAATCAATCTTATCTTATCCAACCCATATTGTCCCATCTTATCTTTTCCCACCCAATCCAATCCACCCAACCAAATCCATCATTTCATTTGTTTCTGCGCCTGCGGCGGGCCAATCCAATCCATCTTATCTTATCCAATCCATTTCTTCCAATCCAACCCATATTATCTTATCCAATCCATCTTATCCCATCCAATCCAATCCACCCAACCCAATCCATCAATTCACTTTTGTCGGCGCCTGCGATCTCATCGTCATCGCGATCATCATTGTGGTGGAGGGAGGCTCTGATAGAGAGGGTGAGAGAGAGAGAGGGCGAGAGAGAGAGAGAGAGAGAGACAGAAAGAGAGACAGAGATGAGATCAAGGTGACAGGCTGGAGGTCAGTCAGGGTGGGCATTTGATCTCAATCCCCCCCAAACCTCCTTCTCGCCCGGAGGGCGGTCGCATAGGTACTCCTCCAGTAGAGGGACATGCCCGACTTAAATGAAGGGGCCCCAGGACACACACAAATAGATACACACAAGCATAAATATTCCCCATATTTCCATATGTGTTCTGGGTTTCTGTCTTCCCCCCCACCTCCCATATTTTCGAATATTTTCTGAGGAATCGAGGGTCAATTGTGTCTGTGTTTTTTCCCCTCCTGATTAAAGTCGCGCGCTCGAGGGTCCGCGCGGTCTTCTCGGCCCGACGCCGCACAGGCCTCGCGCCCCGGGCGCGCGGGGAGCGCCCGCCCCAGAGGCGGAGAGCCTCCGGAGGCGCCTGCCCCCGAGGGGGGCGGCGGCCCGGGGGGGCCCCCGCGCAGATCGGAGAACAATCCGCGCGGATCTCGAAGACGTGGGCGTCTTCTCATTCGGCGTTGCGACACTGGGCGGAAGGGGGGCGGGGCCCCAGCGCAGATCGGAGAACAGTCCGCGCGGATCTCCAAGGGCAGACCGGGGGAAAAAAAGGAGCGAAAAAGCGAAACATCCGTGCAGGTCGGAGAAAAATCAGATCCACATGTGAGCGTTTTCTTATTCGGCGTTGCGACACTGGGCGGAAGGGGGGGGGGGTCTGGCTCCAGACCTCTGCTCCAGGCCACTGTTTGGAATCGTGCGTCCTCTGGGGGAGACCCCACCTCCTCGAGACAGGCGCCCCAGGCAGCCGAGAGCTACGCCATGGGGTGGGGGGGGGGTGCGACGGCCCGCGCCGATCAGCAAAACGACGAATAAGAGAACGATCACCATTGGTGTGGATCCTCCTCCTCCTCCTCCTCTTCCTCCTCCTCCTCCTCCTCCTCCTCCGCTTCCTCCCCCCACTCCTAGCCCTTTCGATCAGGGTCGGCGGCACCGGCCGTCAGGCCTCTCCAATAAGAAAACGATCACCATTGGTGTGGATGCAACTGTTGTTTGGATGCCCGAAGCGCGTGTGTTCGGAACACATGAATAGGATGCCCAACAAATGAAGGGGCCCAGGACCACACAAGCAAATGCACACACACGAACCTCAGGACTCCCGATCTTTTCGCATGTTTTCTTGATTTTCGTCTTCCCCACCCCCCCACTTCCTGTAATTGCCCACATCTTCTTGGACATCGACATTTCATTGTGTCTGTGAGTTCTTCCCCGGCCCTGAAGACATGTTATCAAAATCCGACAGCGGCCGCTGTTGGGCAGGCGGCCTTGTGTCTCTGATGGACAAGGCCCGTGGCGGCACCGACAGCAATTTCTATTCAAAATGTCGGGCCGGGCGAAAGGGGGGGATAGCAAAGGGAGGGTTTGAGAATCAGCTCACGTAGCTGATTTTCCCGACGCCTCCCGGCGCCGGGAAGCGCCCACGTATCGAGGAATGGGCCCAGCGGCGGGGCCGAAACCAGCTGCATGCAGCAGACTTCGTAACCCCCCCTTTCCCAATCCCCTCCTTTCGCCCGGTCCGAAAATGGGCAGGGACAGCTGTTGGGTACCAATTTCGGGGGTGTCCAAAAGGGGTGGGTCGCAGAACATGGCCCGAGGCACGTGCGCGGACCAGAGGGAGGGCCAGGCGACGTACTTGAAGACGAAGAGGGGCAATGGCATCTGGGGAGACATCATGGCCCCGGCCATGACCTCCACCCCCCCTGCAGTAGTCATCTCACCCCCCTTGCTTGGACGCCCCCGACCATTCTTTCCGCACCACGCTTCCGGCGCCTCGATGTCTTCGATAACACCAGCCCCGACCCATCGACCACTTCCCCACCCCTGGTTCCTCACCCCGAGGCCTGGCGAGGGCCCGAGGACCCTGAGATCCGACGTTGCAAACATAATGCAACATCGCGAAACAGCACGCCTGGAACCCCGGACCCCATCGTTCTGCATCATTCTTCGAGCTGGATAGATCTGCGAGGGTCCCGGGACCCGAAATGGCGCGAAGACGCCAGCTGTGAAAAAAATGCAACGCCAGGATCCCAGGGGAGGCTGGAAACAAGTAAGAACCTCCGCCCCGATTTTTTCTCCGACTGTGCCGACTTTTCTCCTTCGAGACCCTCCCGGGTCGCCTGCAGAAGCGGCCCCCAGAGGTGTCCGCGGGGCTGCCATGTGAGAGGCCCCCGGCGGGCCCCGGAGGGTGGCTCCCCGGGGCCAGGTGGTCGGGGCGCCGGCGAGGCTCCAAACCCAGGCCCCCTCGAGCAATGAAACGATCATGGCGGGAGGCGTTTCGTCATTTTCGGCCTCTGGGGGCTCCTGCCGGGCCTCGGGGCCGTCAAAAAACGAGTCGGGTTATGTTGCTCCCATCGTTCTCACGGACCATATCCCCAAAATAATCTCGAGCACCCAGAGAAGTGTCGAAAGAATGTCGAAAGAGTGTCGGACGAGTGTCTTCCAGGGCCCGGCGCGTGAAAGCCCTGGAGTTTTGGGGTACTTTTTTTCTGGTGCTCGCAATTCTTTCTGGTGGTCAAGGCTAAAGCAGGTTGGAGCATCATAAATCCTGGAGAAGAGGTTCAGACCTCGGGGGGTCAACGCAGAGCAAACAATCGTGACGTCGGGAGTCTGGGAAGGCGGCCCGCCCAGGCCATGCCTGCGTCGCAGACAAGAACTCACGACCGCCAGTGTTCTTGGCCGTCTTCGGCCTCTGTGGGGCCCTCGAGAGGGGCCCAGGGCCGTCAACAGAATAGCCTGGGGCGAAAGCCTGGCCCCGAGTCGGCTACACGCAAGAGTGACCCTAGGTAAGAGTGACCTTTGGTGCGCGGCTTTTTGGGGGCCGCGGGGAGACCAAACCTGGGCGCGCAAGCCGCTGCTACCGCTTCGTCTTCAGCCATCTGAGGACCCATCTGAGGACCCATCTGTGCCCGCACCAAAGGTCACTCCGGCGAAAGGTCACTCTTACGTTTAGTCGACCGAGGAAGGGGTCGGGAGTTCCCAGGACCCCGTGTATGGAACAAATCACGCAGTCGCACGTGTGGGGACACCTTGAGCCAGGGACAGCTGCCGACGTCTGATCCCCAGACCTCCTCGCGTGGCAAAAGCGCGACGGACAATCTCTGGCCTTTGGCCATTCTCAGCCTCAGGTGGGCCTCACCGGGCCCCACGGCCGTCAAGCAACGCCTCGGGCCCCGGGTCTAAACCTCTGGGGGCCGACGTCGTGGGAAAGAACGACGTCAGAGGTCCCAAATCCCCGACGTCATGATTTTTTCATGACGCCGACCCCCAGAGGTTCCGACCCATTTCCTGGGACCGGTTTTTCATCCTGAGTCGTTTTTTGACGGTCCTGAGGCCTGGTAAGGGCACCCAGAGGCCGAAAATTGTGAAAACCTCCCGTCTTGAATTTTTCAATACTCGAGGGGGTCTGGGGTGTTGGTCTTCCTCCTGAACTACCCCCCCTTGGGTCCTCTATGTACCTGGCCGTCACGGCCGTCATGTTCTGGGCCGATGAGCGCACGGCCGCGATGTTCAGGATGTTGAACAAATCCGCCCCGGTCATGCCAGCGGTGCGCTTGGCCAGCGTGACCAACTCCACGGCCGGGTCCAGCACGAGCTTGGAGGCGTACATCTCGAGGATCTCTGTGCGGCCCTTCAGGTCCTCATCGAGCGCGTTACACTACTCGCAAAGTGCCTACTCGCAAACGTCAGGAAAAAACACACATGTCTGCATCGATAATATGTATCACAACTCCCCCACGGCGGATCCAGGCCATTTGCGAACAGTTACTTTGCGAGTAGTGGAATGCGCTTGTCTAGGTCCGGGATCGGCACCACCACGTGCTTGTCCAGGCGGCCTGGCCGCATCAGGGCCGGGTCGAGGGACTTCACGAAGTTGGTGGCGCAGATGACGACAATACCTCGGAGGGAGCCAATGGAACCGCAAACGCAGTTTGGCCTCATCCCCCAACCATCACAAACGAACCGAAAACGGCATACACAGAAACTTTCGGATCCCCACGAAGATTTCTAGGATCCGCGCCGGACCCCCCTCCCTGGCGCGCTCCGCGCGCCAGGGGCGGCGCCAGAGGTGCCGCCAGGGGGGCTCAGCACGGATCCAAGAAATCTGCGCGGAGCTCCTAAGATTATGCTTATGCATTTTTCCTCCGTCGAGATCAACGAGTGGCTGCGTATATCACTCGACAAGCGCGGCCTCGCGTACCAGTGATTGGCGGCGAGCGAGGGGAGGAAGTGAGAAGGAGCAAGCTTTCTCAGATGGCGGCGTGGCTTCTCATGAGCCCTCTGGTCTTCTGAGAGGTAATCTGCGTCTCCGGGGAAAGCTTAGAGCACTTCTCAGAAGGCCAGGGGACTTCCGAGCCTTCTGAGCAGGCCCGCCCCGTCTCACTTCCCCCCCTGGGCGCGCCGTCGAAGGTGATGACATGGGCGCTGTGGACGTCTGCGCTGCAGAACGTGCCGAGGGCGGAGGTGGCCTCACCTCTGCGCGTGAGAGGCTGCAGCCTGGCTGATCGGATACGGATACCTCCACTAGCGGCACGGAGATCAAGCAATGGTAACCCCTCCAGGGGTTTCAGGGCCGGGACGGCTCCATATCTATATATAATGTGCATATAGATAGGTATATACATATGTGTGTAAACACACATGTATATATATGTATCGAAACATATATACATAAACATGTAGACATACCGACCGATCTACATCTTCTAACTATAGATGCACATATGTATATATGTATATACCGATCTATATTATATATAGATATATGTGCATGCAAACACGTTGGTCTCTTAATTAAGGCTCTGGCACCGTGGCCATAAAACATGGTATTAGCGAGCGTGCTTATGACGACCTGAGCCGTCGCCTGCCTCCACCAGTCTTGGTGTGGAGAAAACGTTGGCACACGCTTGCGGCTCAAGGCCTGGGACTGCAGGGCATGCGCCAAAAAGGTGGGAACTGAGGAATGACAGGCTGGCCATTCAAACCGTGCTCCTCACATGCGCTGCCCGAGTGGTGCAGGCTCTGGTTGGAGGCTCTGAACTGGTTGGGACCCCAGAACATCGGTCAGGAGAGGGGGGGGATGGAGCCAAGTCTACTAAAAATCGGTCCCCAACCTGAGGACCGATCTTGAGCAGATTGACCCTGGGAGGGGTCTGGGGACTCCCCAGCGCCCTCCCAGGGTCCATCTGGTGCAATTTTCCACTCCAGATTCGTTTTTGACGGTCCCGTATGCGAGAAGCCGCGCCCAGAAGGCGCGTCGGCAAGCTGAATAACAACAAGTGCGATCAGGAAAAATGCAGGGCATGAGCGTGCAAGCGCTCGGGCATCGCCGTGCCTCGGATTGCAATGCACAGAAACCGGCTTCCAGACGCCGGCAAAGGTAAACCAACCTGCTGGAACCCAGCACCTCGAACCTCGCCCCCCCCCTTCGGGCTCGCCAGAACCAGTGCTGGGGGCCACCTCAGGCCCCCAGCCGACTCCAAGACTCTGGCTCTCTGCGCAGCTCCTCGGACATGCCCCACAGGCTGCCGTCGTTCTCCCTGCGAGGTCCGCAGTGGCCGAGCTGGGGACTTTCAGCCCAGCCCGGTGTACCGCTGTTCTCCTCGAAGCCGTCCAGCTCCACCAGGAGCTGGTTCAGCGTCGCCCGAACCTCCGGCCAGCCAGTACGGTCGGGAGTCGGCAAGTCTTGCTTAGCGTGTCGCCGCGGCGGCCCCGGCGACGCGCTATGCCCTGCAAGCGGACAGCGTGCCGCTCCGCTCCGCGGGGCGGGAGGCTCTGAAAAGCTCGTGACGTCGACGTTCGGGGGCCAGGAAGCGGACAGCGAGTCGCGCCGAGGCGCGGTGGGCCAGAAGCAGCGGAGCGACACGCTGCCCAAAGCCCCCGAACGTAAGAAGCCAAGGGGGGGGGGTGAGGCCCGGCGCGCAGAATTGATGAACGGCGCGAGGGGGGCGGCCTTCTCAGGGCGGGCCAGGAGGCTCCCGAGAAGCCATCCTGCAACCCCGCCTTCCTGGACCGCCGCCACCCCCCTCAAGCTCCCCTCCCCCCTTCTGCGCGCCGCCGACTCCTGCCCGCAACCCATGCTGCCTCCAGCAAGACTCCCGCCGAAACGACTCCCCGAGCCCCTCCCTCCTCTCGCCGTCGCTCGGACGTCCATTTCCCGTGCGTTTGTCGGTTTCGTGCGCGTTTTTCTGCTCGATGGCCCTCGCCGAAGAAAAACTTCACGCGTCCCAGCGACGCCCGCGCCAATCTCTCCAGCCGCGCCTGGCCGTGGCGGCCAGAACGACCAGCGGCGCCTGGAAAAACCTCCCGAACGACTACGTCGACGCAGACCTGCCTCCGCCGGGCCCATTTGTCTTTGTTCTGGACGGCAAGGCACGTGCACACCGAGGCGCTGTGCAGAAGATGTGAAACAAACGGACCCCCTCAAGAGGTGAAGCAATATGGGGGCTACAGTGGAGGCCAGTCCACAAGAAACCTTCCACAGGAAACCCAACCCCGAGACCCCAGGACGTCCACTTTTTTTCGGTGTGGGAACGCCACGCTTTCCATAGCAAAACCATCGAAACCTGAGAAACTCAGGGCACCTTGCAGGCAAGCAGGGTGTTTCTTGGCATGGCTTTTCACAGTACGAGAGGCGCTGGGTCTATCTTTTCAATCTGCGGGCCCCAGATCTCGACCCCCCCCCCTTGGGGCAACTTTTCGAAATGACTCCAAGATGGGGTCCGAGTAGGTGGGGTCGGAGGAGCGCGCCGCATCGGCCTCTCGCGTCACCCCCCAGGCGAGAATAGGAGGATGAGGAGGAATCGGAGCCGCACAGCGAAGCGCGAATAACTCGAGGGTGCCCTTGGACAAGGGTGGGACTGGCTGAGGGGGGCAACCGTTCAGAAGGAATCGCCGATACATCGCCAACCATGCAGCGATTAGCCTCCCGACAGCGAAACCGCATGCTCATGGGCCGTGTGGGCTATCCGGTCCCTATCGGTGATGATAGAGGCCTCCTATATGGGGTCCGAGTACATGGGGACGGAGGTTCGCGTCGCATCGCCGATGCATCGGCGACGCATCGCCGATGCATTGGCGATGCATTGGCGACGCCGGCGATGCATCGGCGACGTCGACGTGAAGTACATCGGGCTCCACATCGAGGCGCATCGGCGATGCATCGGCGATGCGGCGCGATCCTCCGGCACCATCTGGGAGGCCTAGCGAGGAAAGGGCGCGCCCTGTCGGCGCTGCCCCTGCCCTCCCCCCCCCCCCTTTTTCGTCCGCCCCGAAGGTCGGGTCGGGCGAAAGGGGGGGGATAGCAAAGGGGGGGTTTGAGAATCGGCTCACGTAGCTGATTTTCCCGGCGCCTCCCGGCGCCGGGAGGCGCCCATGTATATCGAGGAGTGGGCCCGGCGGCGGGGCCGAAACCAGCTGCACGCAGCAGATTTCGTACCCCCCCCTTTCGCCCGGCCCGAGGAGGAGGAGGAGGAGGAGGAGGAGGAGGAGGAGGAGGAGAGGAGGAGGAGGAGGAGGAGGAGGAGGAGGGGCTTCCGCTGCCCGCGGGAGCCGAGCTGTTGTCGCGGCCGGAGCGCTTGGAGCCGACCTCGGGGGGGCAGAGCGGCGGCACGCTTCCACGCCCCGCCCCCGCCCGGGCCGGCCCCCTACAGTCGGGGCGTTGACCTAAGGAACGAGGCCCCCTACAGTCGGAACCCTACAGTCGGAACCCTACAGTCGGAACCCTAATTAAGGAACGAGGCCCCTTTTTTCCATAAGTTAAACTTCGATTTCCTATCGGAAACATGAGGAAAACCGGAGGCAAGCTGTGAAACACTTAAGGAACACGGAGCCCCTCCCCAACGAAAAGGGTTCCTTCTTCAGGGCCCCGACTGTAGGGGTCGTGGGATTCCCGATCCCCATCCAACTTAAAGACCACCTCCCGGGCATACTTTTAGGTCGGGCATGTCCTCCCACAGGCGGATTTTGGACGAACATTTTTAAGAAGAGCCAAACAACGCACAAATGGTAATCAAAAATGGTCAAACAAATCATCCCCAGACTATGTTTTGACTATTTGTGGATTTTCCTCCTGTAGAGGGACAGGCCCGACTTAAGCATACTTTCGAGCACCCAGAGACGTATGTATCGAAACAGTGTCTGCCCGACACGCTCGCGAGGTGTCGAACGATCATCGCCTCCCAGGGCCCGACGCGTGAAAACCCTCCAGTTTCGGTGCTCCTGGTGCTCGAAATTCTTCCTGGCAGTCCAGGCTAAAGCAGGTTGGAACATCACAAGCCTGGGGTCCAGGCTCGGAGCGCGCGCCTTCCCCGGCCTAGGGCCCAGGCGATCTGGGTCGTGGGCCGGGGGAGCTCCTGGCATGGCATGGGCTCCCGGACCAGACCTGGTGGGCCCCATCCTTCCTGGTCTTCCTGGGATTTTGGATCCTACTCCCTGCAAGCATCTCTTGTCCCTGCCTCGCGCCCTCCCACCCTCCACCCACGGGCGGTCGAAGCAAGAGTGACCCCGCCCTGGCCCTCAGGGTGAGAGCCTTCAGCAAGACGGCGCGCAGACTGCTGCAGTGCCGAGCCCGACCTCCACAACCACTACATGGAAAACAATAATCGACATAAACGTAAACTTTCGACGGTCCGCGCGGATTTCTTGGATCTGTGCTGGAGCCCCCTCCCTGGCGCGCGGAGCGCGCCAGGGGCGGCGCCGGAGGCGCCGCCAGGGGGCCCCAGCGCAGATCCAAGAAATCCGCGCGGAGCTTCGAAAGTTTATGTTGTAGTCTTATCTTCTTCCACCACCTCCTGCTGATGCCAAGCCACGCACGTTCCCCTCCTCGTCCTCGTCGTCCTCCCTCCTTCGTCCCGCCTCCTCGTTCCGCCTTCCCCCGCGCTCCTCGTCCTCCACTCCTCCGTACTCGTCCTCCTCCTCGTCCTCGTCGTCGTCCTCCCCTCGTCCGTCCCTGCTCCTCGTTCGTCCTCGTTGTCCTCCCTCGTCCTCCCTCCTCCTCGTTCCTCCCTGCTCCCGCCCTCGTGACACGTCCTC